GGAAAAGACACTGTCATTTAAAGCAAGGGGATCTATTTTTCCAGCAATTCTGCATCTTAATAATTACATTTGGTCATTCATTAATTTAGCCTATATCTTAGAGAGTCACTTCCTTTGCCATCTTGCCCAGTAGCTGTGGAAGTAGGACAAGTGCTTTTACGTTTTACTGAAGTTATTCCTTTTGGCTTTTTTTTTTGTACTCTATTTCAAGAGTCCTTTGTAAAAAAAATAAATTACTACTTTGAAGCAGACTTTTAGAAAGTATTTATAAAAGAAACATGAAAGAAATAACTGTTGCAGGAGTGGAAGAGAGGATTTCTAAACTAAGTAGATAGAAGCATTCTTATTCAGACTTTTCAGATTTATGTATGTGACTTCATGATATAAATGTGCCCTTTGCTATTCTGAAAAACCTAAGAGATGTATCACTACCAATTAAAAGCTGGGAGAGGTTGTTCCTTCATCTTTAAAACTCTATATTCATTCTCCCATGTCACATTTTTTGTAATCCTTTCCCACCTGTATTACACTTGGAATAATCCTTCTCACTCCTTGTCACATGTGCCTTAAACCTCTTTTAAAGAACAGACTTAGAGCTTCTAAAACAAGCATTTCATTTTTGTTGCGCTAAGTGTGATGTCAAATCACTATTAGAAATCTCACGCATGTACCAATCTGGAATTTCTTCTGGAAGTTCCTTCCTTCATAAATTGCTGTACTTGGTCAACCATAACATGTACTGCTGGCACTGCCTCTCTGCTCACTGCAGCTTTTGTTGTTCATCTGGAGGCAAAACATTAGTCTGTAAATAACAGAGTATATAGCTCAGTCTTCCAGAAATACCCATGCAAGTGTTATGGATTTGTTTGCATTAGCAAGGATTCTCAATGGCAAATGGTAATAGTACTCTCATTTTGCTTTTTTAGGATTGTAGAAAAACCTTAATATAGGAAGGACTAATCTCCTGAAACTTTGGTTTGTAACTTTGAGGAAATACTATGGCTTGTATGAAACTGAAAGGGTTTAAGTTTATAGCTGGAAAAGGGGTTTGCCTTTTTTCTCATGGCAGTTCAGTTGATAAATTCTGTTTTGCATCAGTTTACTAGAATTTGGTGTGATGGCACTTGAACACTATATACAATTTATCAGCCTTCAAAAAAAAATTCAGATTAAGAAAAGATTTTGTTAATTATTGGTCTCCAGTACAGGAAGTTAATCCTGTTCTCAGACACACTCTTTAGTGCACTGCATCCAAGTTTCTCTGAATAGTATGCACATGTGGAAGGGCTGACTGAATCAGTGAACCTGCAAGATTTAGAGCAGGGTTTTACTGCACTACCAGCAGAAAAGCTATGATGAACAAGTCTGGAAGATTAAAACTATATACTTTCAGAAACTTGACAAATGTCTAATTGTCTAGATACAGTTATATCTGTATCTGCAAGTTTCTAAGTATTTTCTTCCTTAAATGTAGTGACATTTAAAAATACAACATGCAATATAAATTCTTATTATCTAAAGTGAGTTTTAGTGTGGCTTTCTAAGGAAATTAAGTTTTTGTGAGCACTTTGTTAATCTGCCAATACCTTCTTTGATAATTTCTAGCTCTTCAAGCCTGTTTAATCTGTTGATGAACTTCAACTACGTTTAAAAGATGGTTTCAGATCTCAATTATCAGTTATTTTTTAAGTTTCCAAAACACTGTTGGCTGGATAAAGGAAAGACCCAAATTAGTGGCTCAATTCAGCTCAACAGTTTTTTGTGCTTTGTCTTTTTGTCCAGCTGGTCGATAGAGGACACCTGAGGAACTGAAGGTTCCTTTCTCTGAGAAAGCAGAGGTTGTGGATTAAAAAGTATACTCCAAAGAAGTGTGATGCATATACCTTGGATATCTCTGGAAAGAAACTTAAAGGAACATAGGAACACAAACCCATTGAAACTTGGGGTTGAATAACGCTATTAGAAGTTTTTAAGTGACCAGCACAAATCCTTAGAGATACCAGGGAGGCTCTGCATTTATTTCTTCTTTGCTTCCCATGCCCAGCACTGTAAAGCAACCACCTTGCCCCCTCATTTGAGTCATTATTCCAAACTCACTCCTTCCATGGGATGTACCAGAAAGCTGTGGCTGCAAGAGCAGGGCTGGTGGCAGGCTGTGCCTGCTGCTGCTGACTGCTGGAGACTTCTGTGGTCACTCCTAGTTATTTGCTACCTCATTTGACCTGCATCCCTTAAGCCCATTTGTTTGCATCACCCCCTAACTACACCTTGCCTTTGAGAGTGTGTCTGTACTGCTCTCCAGAGAATTAATTACACTGCATGTGCAGTCACACCAGTCTCGGAGGAGAGGCACTGGGGCTGATGGCCTTTGCTAGTTCTTTAGGGCATCTGCTCTGCCATCCAGTCTGTCTTGCCCCAATTTCTCTTGGTATCTTACCTGAGCTTCAATAAAACTGTTGAAATTATATTTACAGTTCCAGTCCAAGTGTAGAAATATTTTTTTGAACAATAAACTATCTGAGCAAGGGCTACCAGTTTGTACAGGTCTTTGCCAGGAGTCATGACACAGGGCTTTTAGACACTGTCTTACAAATTTTTCCTTGTAGTATACGAACTCTGTTCAGATTGTGCATAAAATGTTGTTTCTTCTGTTAAGTTTGACGAATAGCAGCAAGCCAAAAAGTTGTCCAGGTTTTGGACAGAAATGGAGCCTGGGAACCAAGCGTGAGTTTGGTCAATGAACCGTGCAAACTGCACTCGTGAGCGGGGCATACGGACCTAGGGACGGAGAGGCGGGGCGGGGCACCATCCAGGAAATTTTTAAGCTCCTAAACGTGACCATCGCTGCGCGGCCGTTTGTTCCTCGGCCGGTGGGAAGGCAGGCAGGCTCCTTGCAGCGAGCGGCAGCGCCGCAGCCCCGGCGGGAGGCAGCGGGGCGGGCGGAGCGGACCCTGCCGGGCGCGGGGGCGGCCGGAGCAGCCCCGCCCCGGCCCGCCCCGCCGGGCGCCGCTGCCATAGCGATGCGGGAGCGGGCAGCGGCCGGGACGCGCGGCGGCGGCGAGCCCCGGCTCTCCCTAGGTAAGGGCGCTGCTCCGGGGCTGCTGTTGTGGGCTCCACGCTACGAGCTGGGTTTTTAATCTCATCTCGTTGTGTTTGTTCTCCCGTCTTCCCCCCCCTCCCCCCCACCCGCGCCCCTTCTGCCCGCTCAGGTGCAGTTTCTCCCAGAGCCGCTTTCTCTGGGAACTTCTCTGCCGAGAGCAGCGTCTTGTGCTCGTTTATCGTTCGGTGTTTTCTTTCCGCGTGGAAAGTTGCGAGCGGTACCAGGGCTCAAGGGCCAGCCGAGGGTTGGGTGGCCGGCGGGCTTTTGTCCGGCCCGGGTGCCGCGGCGGCGGGGCTCGGCCCGGCTCTGCCCTGCCCTGCTGCCCGGCAGGCTCCGCCGCGACCCCGTCACTAGCGGGGATTAAAACTGCGGCGGGGGATGTTCCAGGCGTCTTGCTGAAGCGCGAGTAAATCCTTTTATCCGCAGAGGAGCAGAGGCTCGCAAAACTTTGAAAGTGCGCGCAGGAGGAGGGAGCAGCCCGAAAGGCAGCGGGCAGGGCTCCGCAGCTGCCGCGTTTCACGTGGAGGTGGGACTGGCTGTGCGGGTCCCGCCGGGCGGCCGGCGGTGTCCCCGCGATGGAACCCCCGGCTGGCTCCTGCACCTCCTGCCGCTGCGCCTCCGCCTCGCCCGAGCCCCCGTCCCCGCTGCTCTCCCAGCCCCCGCGGCCCTTGCGATGGGAAAGAGACAAAGAAGGGTCCGGGGTCTGCCGCCTTCCCCAAAGCACAGCTGTACACGTTCTTTCCTTGTTTCGGGTGAGGGGGAAATTCCCCCTGCCGCCCCCATGACCCCGCCGACAGTGGCAAGTTTTCGAAGATCCCACTGTCCCTTGCTGAAAGAACCGTGCATAAGCTTTGTTTTTAAGGTGGATCCAGCTTCAGACTGGGCATCCCAGTGGTTTTCGGGGCATTGTTTATCACGGTGGGGAAAACGTCTGCCTGGCTAAGACCCCTGGCTGGGGCAGGAGACACATGGCTGGTGGTCCCCCCACAGCTTTCCCAGGCACTGGAGTGTGATCTGGTCTGCTGGATCTCCCAGGCTCAGCTGAGGAGGAGATCCTGTACAGCATGTCCCAAATGCTCTAGTCACTTTCAGGTTTAAGTTTTCATTTTGTTGTCACCATAGCATAGGGTGGCTTCTGGATGTATTGCTTTTAATTCTTGTTTTCTTTTGTAGGGAAAAAGACTTTGCTGTGCACTTGATGTAATTTCTTAGAATTTTATGTGCCAGGGGACAGACAAGTCAGTCAAGTGTCACACAGCCTTCCAACAGAAGCAAGTCTAGGAAAAATTATGTCTGTTTTCCTCTTCCTTGCCTCCTGTTTGAGAGTTAGGTGTCCCTTGATGAACGTGTTTTAGATGAAAATCTCTCATGTGTCTTGGGGCTCAGTGCTGAGCACATGAGAAGGAAGACTGGATTGGTGTTACTGGGAGTTTCTTTCTCCTACGTGCATATGAGGATTGTATTTACTATTGTAAGGTAGCTGTGCTAGTCATAATGAATTTATTAGCTGATTAGCATTAGAGAAACAAGTACATATTGAAATTATTCTGGTCTCTTAAATTGCTGACAAATGCAATTATACTTTGAGGGAGTGACAAATGCCTTCTCTGCACCCCTGCAACACACCTTTGTTCACCATAGAAGAACTCCTTCATTTTGTTTGTGTCTTTATTTCCTACAATGTAGCTGAAACTTCTTTTAGTAGGGGACTTTGTAAGAAAACTTTTTAATGTTGGCTTTTGTTTTCTTGATGCAGGCAGCACCACCTGAGGAGCTCAGCTCACCCAGTCGATGTGAAGGCAAGGCAAACCAAGGTGCAGCAGATGATGGGGAGGCAGCGAGGTCAGCTGGTGGGGACTGCAGTGTTGCTTTGAGCTACCCCAGCCTCCGCCTCCATGCCTACAGCATCGAGAGCATGACAACATTTCCGAATGTCTGTGGAAATGGCACCACCGTTACTTGTATAGTTATGGATAATAAAGAACCCCAAAGCCAGACTACCTGTGCCAGTCATAATGGGAGACACAGCACCGACAACAATGTTGAGGAGGAATTTCAAGAGGACAAGCTCAGCCCTTCCAAAATCATGCGCTTTTTCACCACCCCTCGGAAACGGGCTAATTCCAGCTCTGACAGGCCTCGTTCTCTGGTTTTGATGGGCAACTCATCCACGTGGAATGCCTTTTCTTCTATCAGAAAGATGGGATCTTTCAAGAAGTTGAAATCTTCAGTTCAGCAAGGAACTCAAACAAGGGAATGCTCAGACGTTGTAAATGACAACAGCATAGGCAAACATGGTTCAAATGGAGCAGTGGTGCAAGTTCAGACTAACAGGTATTCCTATTCGGGGCCTCTACATGATTTCCAGAGTGCAGTGGATGGTTTGGCTTCTGACTGCTCTGATGTGGAGGAGAGTGATGAGTCCTTCCTGAGGAACACTCATCGCTCACGCAGCATCAGGCGGGCTTACGGAGCTGGCCGCATCAACTTGTTAGACACAGATAAAATTCAGAGTCGCCACAACTGTGTTAGGCCAACGTCACCTGTCGTTGCAGAGCCAAAGATCTGTGAAATTCTGGTGAAAGACTCCGAAAACAACAGGATCATTTATTGGAGAAGCAAAAGTTCTGATAATTTGAACTTTCTGAAGAAAAGCTCATTCAAACGGAAGTCCACCTCAAACCTTGCTGATCTGAAGGTTGCAAATGAAAAACAGATACCAGCAAGGACTGCGAGTGTTCCTTCTGCTGACTCCGACAAAAGTGATGGAAACCCTGAGAGGCGATCCAAGCGATGGAAGAGCCCTATCAGAGCAAAGGATTTTGATCGAGTTTTGAAACTCGTCAGTAATGTTACAGATGTTGCAAGGAAGAAGGATGGCCCCAAGAACGTGGCTCCCTCTCCCAGTGAGCTGTCCCAGAGAACAAGGTCAAACAGCAGGCTGCACGATGACTACTCCCGCAGGGTTTCCAGCAGCACGGACCATGACAGGAAGAGATGCACCTCCTCAGTATCCAGTCCAGACTCTTCCTTGCCAGGAACACCTTGCCTGCAAAGCCCTGTGATTGCTCAGGATAAAAAGGCTGAAATGAATGTAGCTGTCACTGAGGATAAAAGCCCCAGGACGTCATCAGGTATCCCAGACTCTGATAGCTTTTCACCTACTCTGGATGACATTAGTCCATTTCCCAATGAAGTCTTTTATTCGGACTCAGATGAACCAAAAGCTACTCAGCAGTGTACAGATGAAGCCGAAAACCTTCATGTTCCAGTCCGGCCAACTACTCCAAAGCCTCAAAGTCCAACTGCAGGGAAGGTCAAGTGCAGTATGAATTTCCAGTGTCCAAACCATCACAGCACGTTGTCACTGAGCTCATCGGAGAGCGAGGAGAGAGTTGAGGTACCGGGGCTGAAGCTGGGCAGGAATCCTGTTTGCTTCCAGGACTCAGTGAAAACTGTGTATTATGATGATGGAAATGAAGACAGTGGCATAAGCAGCCACTCTCAGCTGAGCCTCAATTTAGCCTCTGGTACTGAAGAGAAAAAGGAAGAGGTAAGAAAGAAAGAAAAATCCTTCAAAAGCGATGTATATTCCCTGTTGGGTTTTGTCTTTATTAATGCAAAACAATGCAAAGTAATGGCTGCTGCAGCTTGTTATTGCTAAAATATGCTGACAGCAATTATTTCCTTTAAATATTCTCTTTGGATGCTAATATACAATTATTTTTTCTTTGCACATTAATATCAAAGGAAGTTTTGGCAGCAAAGGTATTCATGTATGTTTTCAAGGGCAGTTCATTGCACCCTGAAGATACACCACCTTGTCATGTGGCCTTGTCAGACTTTACCAGCCTGAGCAGGGTTTGACTGTGTTTTCTTCCCAACTGAAAGGTCTTTTTAATTTTAAAGCGTCCGTGTATTCTGAAGTAGTGTTGACTTACTGTAAAACACTTTGCCTGTGGAAACCTTGCAGAACATGGTAATATTTGTAGAGCAGTGGGGTGTGAAAGACACAGCACAGAGGTTTAAGCATTCAGTTGTATCCAGTGTTTTCCCTGTGCAGTGATGACCATGCTGAGGGTAAACTGCTTGCTTATTCCTTTGCTTTCCAACTGCAGACAGCAGTACTTTAGACACTGGGCTGAGTCTTTTGCTACTGTTGTTTTGGTGAAGACACGGTTGTTCTCACTGCACCTGATGAGTGATTTCATACTCTCAGTGAATGGATAAATGGATATATTGCAGCACCTCTGAGGTAAATTCACATGATAACACTGTGCCCCCACCTAAAATATGGTGTGAGTTGGCACCAGAGAAGTTGCAGTGATTTGGTAGCCTTGGTGCCTTGGTGAAGAGCTGTCAGACATACCCTGCATCTGTCTGAAGCAGCGAGGCTTAGCTCAGCCCCAGCTCACTGTGGCAAATATCCATCTGGATCTGTATAAATATGCAAGTCATTCACAGAATGAAGCTGACATATCTTTTAAGCCACCTCAGTTTGACTAAAGTATCTTAGACCTTAGGTATGAGATAGGCAAGGCAATGCTGCAGCTGCACAAGCTTCAGCCTTTCATGCTGTGAAGTTTTAAAATGTCTGTGAAGCTGTCCTACTTTTAAAGGCTTGGCACAGTTTTTGCAGACTAACTGTAAGTGGTTACAGAGCTTATCAGTATTGTCCTTCTGCTGGAGGAAAGTAATTTTGTTTACTGTTGTGTTTGCAGCAATGGTAAGATTGAAAAAATAAACTCAGTGTGTATAAATGTCTGGGCTCAGAGTTTATTCCTCTTCTGGAACCATAGAATTACTCCAGCCATCTGTATTTTCCAAAACTCTCACTTATATGCAAGGAGAGGCTTTCACACTGCCAGAAGAGGCAAGAGTCCTAGTGTGGATAGATGCCAGTTGTATTTCTCAGGAGTAAAATGGGAGGTGGAATTAGTGCTACTCATCTACCATCTAGTGGTGAGCTGCCATCATGACCCAGAAGAAATTAATCTTGTCCTTCCCCTTAGTTCCCAACAAACCAGTACAGTTTTTACATGAATGTGTGTACTTTGGGTGGATAAAAGCTACTGCAGTTTTTAGTTTTAACACCACATTCTGTTATTATCTAACATGCAATTTAAGCTTTCTCTTTATATTATAACATTTTTAGGGTAATTGTGAGTGTCCTTTAGTGCTTGCTTCAGTTGTCTAAAATACAGAGTGTGCACTGGTGGCAGCTCTGGGTTTGTGTAATGGGCAGGCAGGACAGGATCCATGGAATGGATCCCAGCAAAAGATGGAGGAAGTGGTGGCCAGGGAACAGGCTCCTTGGCTGTAAGACCTCACTCTGCTGTGAGCACTGCCTGGAGCCCCTGTGCTTCATAAAAAAAGCTGTGGCATAGCTGCATCCAGGCAGACCTCTCTTCTAATGGAAAAAGTCAAAATTTTTGGAGGTGGTAGGTGTGGGTTGGAAGCAGGAGCTTCCAATAGGGGATCAATAGGGGATCACTGGGCTCTCTTGAAACTTCAGAATCCTCTGTGCAGGAGAGGGTCTGCTTTTATCTTGCTATACAAGGGGTATAAAGTCTGTTATTTCTTTTTTCCATGCCTGTTTCTCATCTCATACACAGCCTAAAGCTGTGACACTCAGAGTGACTGCAAAACAGGTAGAGTGGTATAGTTTCTTCCTACCATTTCTTTGGAGGATTCAATTTCCTGCTTTACAGCATGCTTCCCTCAGCATGGAGCTAGCTTGGCACCAAAGATACTTATGCCAGGTTATTTTTTAATTGGAATTTATTCAGCCTGTAGGCACTTTTATGAATGCCACATACTCACACAATGAGGTCACTGGGGTTTGAACTTTTGACTACAATTCATTTTTACCTTACACCTCAGCATTGCAGAACTGTACCTGCCCAGCAAGTTGTTCTGTGATGGCTGAGTGCTTAGTTCACTCTCAACAATCATTTGAGATGTAGTGTGGAGCCATGGACATCACACATTTTCAAAATTTTGTCTGAATCTTAAATACACTGTGTTGATGGACAACTCTGCACTGTTTCCATGTTTCATGGATCTGCCTTTCTGTCCAGATTTCATGTATAAGCCAGTATGTATTCCAGTACAGCCACTAAAGCTTGAAGACTTACTTTGATATAAAGCTTAGAAGGTCCTAACCAGTCAGGCTCAAATAAGTTCTCTTTTCGGGACTAGCTGCTGCAGCTGGAAGCAAGTATAGTTTATTTCCTTACTCACTCATCTGACAGATTAGTCAGCAAATGAAATCTGTGGAATTTGGACCATCTCTATATTTTCCCAAATATGGAAACTAAATATTTCTACCTTATGTTTCTCCACTACTGTAAAGCTGATTTTGCAGTATTCCTGCAAGGACATCTATTTGTTCATCAGAATTGATATTTTGCGTTGTTTTTTTTTCTTACGTGATTGAGTCTTGAGTTCCTGTCACTTCACTTTGTTGGTTTCACTAAAATGCAAGATTTGGACTGAAGCAGGGGAGATTTCTTGGTTTTTGGTCCTGACAGAGGTTGTTTCCCAGGGAAGAGCTAATTAAGTGCAGCGTGGATCTGTGCCTCAGCACTTCTGAAGCTACAGAGGTGTGAGTCACCAAAGCTCACCTGTGACATCCCATGCTTTGCCACTGTCTGCTTCATGCTACTGTCATTTGTATTCAATATGTTGCTTTTAAATAGCATGAAGAGATTATTAAGTACAAGCTTGTACTTGTTTGGAGTGTTTCACATAGTCTTTGCTTTCATGAAGGAAGAGCCCCATGTCACTGGAATAATGAAAACTTAGTCTGTTTCAGACTGGCATGTGTCAGCCACTAACGCTGCCTGAACAAAACACTGTTCTGAATTTGTTACAAAAAAGTAAGAATCAAGTTACTTGACATTTCACCTAGTCTTTCACAAACTCTTAGATCATTTGGTATTTAGGTTGCCTTGCTGGCATCTGGCTTCACAGTACACCAGACTTTTTATTACTTGAGTACCTTATCTGCATGACCATAAGTGCATGATAAATTACAGTGAAGAGGTAACTCTGCTGTAATTACGATTGAGTCACAGTTTATTTGCAGACAATATTTTACATGTTCTAAGACCTGTCTGTCAACTCCTTTATGTTCATGCCATATAAAAGTCACTGGTCCCAGCTAGTCCAAATCATAAAGTGCCCAGTGCTCAGCTGTTGGCAGAGTTGACCTGGTTTGTCCTGGACAGGGCTCTGAATATTGAGCACACAGGGTTTAACTTGGGGGACAGCTTGTAAAGATGAAGAGGAAGAAGACCTTTAGGGGTGGGATACAGAGGACTCAGATATGTCCTCACTGTTTGTCCTCACTATTTCTAGCTTCAAAATGTGTCCTCCTAGTGAAGGACCAAAGGGCAGTAGCGGGATGTCATCGTGTTCAGTGCCTGCAAGGAGCAAGCAGCAGCCAGGATCTGAGGGTGATCATCTGTAGTACATGCCTCAAGTTCCTGAGTGCTGTGGGGTTGGGCATGAGCACACCTGCTGGAAGCTAGCTGCTTTCAGCTCTCTGAACTCTACTTTTTGGTTTTATTCACCTCTGGTTCATCCACGTGCAATTTAGAGTGTAGCTTAATCAACCTATCGTGTATTACTGTAAATATGATAAACTGTGAAGGATAATTAGGTGAAGTAGTGGGGGAGATTTCTTAAACTGGGTTTACTCCTAAGGGGCTCGTAATGTGGAGTGAGGGCTCATCACTCCAGTGGTACTCTGGTCTCACTGACTATAGCGCCTCGGGACAGAGCAGCAGAACCCTGACACAGGGTCTGAACAGCTTCTTACAGAAAACTGAGGTTTCAGGTAGACCAAACAACACTGGATTTGCACTAAACTCTGAGCTGCTCTGCACAAGTCAGGGTGCATTCACACAATGTCCCTGCAGTCACTCAGTGAGTGACTTCCAGATGCATTTGCCCAGAGCTAGACTAGAAACCACTGCTCATTGCTACAAACCTAGATTGCAGAATCCATTGCTGCAATAATGCAGCAGGGAGTCCTCAAATGACAGGAATATCTTCCTATAGCAGCAAAAACTCTTTCAACTCCCAGCAACAGAGCTGTCATCCCTTGGGTGCAGCCCATAATCATTTGTTGCTGTATCTGCTACTAGAAAGAAGAAAAACAAAGCAGTCGTGACAATAATCTGAATTCTGGATTGGCTTGAATTTTAGACCAAGTAACTCTGCAGTTCTTAATAAAATTAGCCATTTCTGAAAACTGTAGGATAATATAGAAGTTACTGTCATCCTCTCAGAAATGGTTTGGATGGTGACAGGGAGAGCTCAGGTGGAATTCACTGCAGTTAGCCTGGGGCAAGCTGCACCCTTTCTTTATTGCATTTGTGCACCTCTGCCTTTCCAGAGCGTCCCATATTTGACTCTGCTGTAGCTGTCCAGTGGCACCTCAGTAATACCCAGGTGTTGCTCACCCTGGGATCAGGAGTAATAAATAGTGCCCCAGAAAGTAGAACAGCACTGTTCCCATGTGATTTGGTTTCTTACATAAACGCA